CATGAACCCTGAAGAACACTGAGCTCTTAAAACTCTTTAGAAACGTACTCGGTTACTAACGTAACCTCGGTTCCCTGAGATACGGGAACGAGTACTGTGTCGCTAGACGCTACGAGAAACTCCTTTTCTCCGATTTACTGAAGCCTTTTTTTCAATCACAGCAGTGCATCTGCACTGCCATTGTTTCAGAAATGAACCAATGATGGCGCAGCGGAGCTGTGCGAGCCTATGGCGAAGCAGCGTGCCCGAGCCCACCAAAATGGGCAGGGCATGTGGCTATATAAGCAGGTGCTCGGCATAGGATCACTGATTCATATCGACTGAAGCGACGACAGAGTCGTGCAACATCATAGCACGGCTAGCTACGCAGTACTCGTTCCCGTATCTCAGGGAACCGAGGTTACGTTAGTAACCGAGTACGTTCCCTTTCGATACTTTCACTTCGTACTACGGGAACCTACAGGAACCTATTCAATCACACCGTGCTATGGTAGATGAACGACTTATAAGTAATTGTCCAGGGACGTCCAGAAGGGGGCCCTGCAGATCAACTACAATGAAGCAGGCCATAGCTAGAGACCCAGATTCTTTTCGGGGTCAAGAGGAGGCAAAGAAATGGGCTAACTCATAGAGGTCGAGCCCGGCCTTACATAATCGTTCTTAGAGCTTCGCACAGCCTTGGAACTAGATAGGGCCGAGAGCATGCCGGAAGCTAAGCCCAGACGTGGGAACTTCAGCGGGTTCAAAACATAGTCAAACCCAGCAAGGATTAAATCCAGCCTTAGGGCGGGGATATGGTTCCTGGAGTGTTTTGAGCTCAGAGAGACAGTTAAGCAGAAAGGACCTGAGCCTGCAAAGCAGGGACGTCTAGGTTGTAGAACCTGACAAAGGTGGATGGCGAGGACCAGCCGGCCGCTGCACAAATTTCTGCAATGGACACACCACTGGACCATGCCCAGGATGAGGCCATGCCTCTTAGGATACTACCGTCATGTTGTCCGATCGGACTAAGACATGGCATCCCTCTAGATGTGGTAGGAAGGACTGTAAGGCCTGCCATACTGCCAGCATTTCCAGGCAGTTGATGTGCAGCTTTGTCTCTTCGCTCGACCACGCGCCAAAAGCTGGTCTGCTGTCGCACAGGGCTCCCCAGCCCGTGTTTGACTCATCTGTGAAGATGACCTTCCTTTTGTGCATCATCCCCAGGCATACGCCCTGTTTGAACCACGAAGTGTCCTTCCAAAGGGCAAGGGCTGCGATGCAGGCTTGATCCAACTTGATACGAAGGCGTCCGTGATGCCAAGCTCGGGATGGAACCAGGGGTTTCAGCCAGTGTTGAAGAGGCAGCATGCGAAGGAGGCCTAACTGCTTTACGTCAACTATCCAATGGGATAGGCTTTGTTTTGTGACCGGAAGCCCCTTGGTGCGGCCACCAAAGCATACAAAGAGCTCCATAAGGCCCAGCATCCTCTGAAACATTCTGAGAGGAAGGGACGCGCCAATTGTGAAGGCGGTTGTCAGCCGCTGTATAGCCAGGACACATTCCAGCGAGACTACAGCTCTCATTTGGGTTGAGTCGAAGACAGCCCCCAGAAATGAGATTCGTTAAAGTGGTCATTCTGAATGCGCACTTTACTAGGGCGCGGTTCAAAATCCTGAGGATGGGCCTGAGGCTGCCATCCTTTTTCGGGATGAGGAAGTAGCGGCTGTAAAAGCGCTAGCGTTCGTGTTCCCTACTAAGATGGGGATCACACCACAGAAACGCGGGGGTTCTCAAGCGAATTGGAGTAGATAAACTCGTTTTATAATCCCCATAACCCCCTTTGACACGCCGGGGATGGCCTGCCAGGTCTCGGCCCTTGTGGCAAGGGGTTGAACTGGTTCGGGCGGCGGGTCGCTGTGAAGGGACCCGGGGCTCGCCGTGTTTGGAAGAGGAAATTTGCTCTCTTTTTGAGTATGTTTGTGTTTTATTTTGTCCGCTATCACAGCGGTTGGGCGCAAAAACGGGCCCCTTGCATGCAATAGACACATTTTTCCCAGCACCCGGAACTGGACGGGGCGACTGGGAACACATACGAGGCAGTTTGGGGGGGGGGGTCCAGCCCCTTTGACACGCCGGGGATGGCCTGCCAGGTCTCGGCCCTTGTGGCAAGGGGTTGAACTGGTTCGGGCGGCGGGTCGCTGTGAAGGGACCCGGGGCTCGCCGTGTTTGGAAGAGGAAATTTGCTCTCTTTTTGAGTATGTTTGTGTTTTATTTTGTCCGCTATCACAGCGGTTGGGCGCAAGAACGGGCTCCTTGCATGCAATAGACACATTTTTCCCAGCACCCGGAACTGGACGGGGCGACTGGGAACACATACGAGGCAGTTTGGGGGGGGGTCCGGCCACAGTGAGACTTTGCCTTCTGAGGTGCAGGATCCAGCACAACCTTGGGCCAGGGTCCCTGGTGCTTCGGAAAAGGGTAGTGCTTTGCAGAGCGCGAGCGCAGCCTGGGCTCAGGCCGTGCAGAGGGCTGAGTCACAGGAGGCGTAGTCTTAACTGGCTGTTGAGTCGGCGCTAGCTTGGGGCGACTGGCAGCAGCTGCAGAACTGGAACGCTTTGGCAGGAAGTGTCGCATGGCTTGGGACGACTTCTGTGCAGCCGTGAAACGCTCGGCGAACCCTTCCACAGCACGTCCGAAAAGGCCAGTGGGGGTGACCGGGAGTCAAGGAAGATGGTTTTATCTGCTTTTTTGATCTCTGTCAAATTCAGCCACAAGTGGCATCCAGGCCCACCACGATGGCCATCGACCTCCCAATGGCCTGTGCAGTCGTCTTTGTGGCGCGGAGGGCCAAATCGGTGGTGCTGCGCAGCTCTCTGATCGCTGCAGAATGTTCTGGCCCAGACTCATCCATGGCGCGAAGGAGCTTCGCCGGGCACACTTGGAGCACCGCCATAGAGTGTAACGCAGACGCAGCCTGGCCCGCCGAGGTGTAAGCACCACCAGCGAGGGCTGAAGTTGTTCGGCAGGGCTTCGAGGGATGAGCGGCCTTTGTCTTCCATCCGATGGCAGCGGGGGGGCAGAGGTGTGCAGCCACCGCTTCGTCCAGAGGAGGCTACTTATCGTAGACCTTCTGTGCAGCGCCATCGACCGTAGTGAGGGCGGGAGAGACAGAGGAGCGTAAACGAGCTGAGTAGAGGGCACGCCACAACTTCGTCAGCTTGTCGTGAATCTCTGGGAAGAAGGGCACAGCTCGCTGAGGAGGGGTCTGGCAGCGTCCCGGCAGAAACCACTCATCTAGGCGGCTGCGAGTGGGCTCTTCATGCTAAGACCACTCCAATCTGAGCTCCTCGACGGCTTTTGATAGGACATGGATGAGCTTGGTGTCCGTACCAACCCTGGCGTCGATCAGCTCCTCAGACAGCAAGGGGGCAGGGTCAGCAATGGAGCCCGACCAATCCTCAGCATCTGAGACCGCTAGGGACATACTGTCATCAAGCGGCTCGTCATCCGATCCCCCAAACGAGACCAGGTCACTCGCGATGGCAGAGGGGCGCTGGTCTGGATGGGAGAACGAGACGGGGGAAACCTCTCTTTGTGGAGAGAATGAGGTACGCGGGCCTTGAGCCGACGTAAGCTCACTCATATCCGAGCGCTGTGATCCTCTACCCTGCTGTTTGTTCCTCACAGGTTCCTGGGAGGAAGGAAACGGGGGGGGGCGCGAGGGGCGGGGTCGCTTTCTGAAAAGAAAGCTATCCGCGAGCACAAAGAGGCGAGACTCATGCTCTCGCAGTGGGAGCATGACGTCTCAGTGAGCGCGGCTTCTGCGTGGGATTTCCCCAGACATTGCACGCATTCACTGTGCCCGTCATCAGTGTGCAGTGGTGTCCTGCACGAGCCACAGCCGTGGCTGCAACAACGTCGCAGGAAATTTGCTCAGAAATTAGCTCTTTTTTGTTACCACAAGCAGGAAAGCGTCAACACAGGTGCTCTGCAGATGGCTCGTGAGCGAAGCGCTGACCTGCCTTGAGAGCGACGCGGGAACAGAGCTGCTTGAAGCGGCACGCTGATCAGTGCTGCTTGAGAGCGGCGAGTGGCGAGCTGCGAGCAGTGAGCAGTGAGCAGAGAGCAGAGGCGGCGAGCTGATCTTGCTGCTGTAGAACGGCGGCTGGATCAGCTTGCAGGCGAAGGCTTCAAATCTCGTAGAATCAGCTTGCATGCATTCACTGTGCCCGTCATCAGTGTGCAGTGGTGTTCTACATGAGCCACAGCCGTGGCTGCAACAACGTCGCAGGAAATTTGCTCAGAAATTAGCTCTTTTTTGTTACCACAAGCAGGAAAGCGTCAACACAGGTGCTCTGCAGATGGCTCGTGAGCGAAGCGCTGACCTGCCTTGAGAGCGACGCGGGAACAGAGCTGCTTGAAGCGGCACGCTGATCAGTGCTGCTTGAGAGCGGCGAGTTGCGAGCTGCGAGCAGTGAGCAGAGAGCAGAGGCGGTGAGCTGATCTTGCTGCTGTAGAACGGCGGCTGGATCAGCTTGCAGGCGAAGGCTTCAAATCTTGTAGAATCAGCGAAGAGCAGTAGATGTCGTCGCTGAAGGAGAAAGAATCAGTGATCCTAAGCTGAGCACCTGCTTATATAGCCAGATGCCCGCCTATTTTAGCGGGCTCGGGCGCGCTGCTTCGCCATAGGCTCATGCAGCTCCGTGAAAGGAGTTTCCCGTAGCGTCTAGCGACGTAGTACGAAGTAAAAGTATCGAAAGGGAACTAAAAATGCCTTGAAAGCAAAACTTTGTCTAGAGATCTTGTTTTGGGTGTTGAGAGTCTCGCGCACGCACGCACGCACGCACGCACGCACGCACGCACACACGCACACACACAGCTTCTTCAGTCATGTGACTCTCATCAGTCACAAGTCACAAATCACAATCTACATCATCATCATAATCAACATCATCAAAATCATCATCATCATCTGCGTCTCTCAGTTACAAAGGAACCAAATGAAGTGTGATCTTACCTCATTGATCTGCTCCACAGAGAACCAACAGAACCAGAAGAGAGAGACACAGTGTATAAGTCAACAATAACACAATCCACACACACACACACACACACACACACACACTTCATTATATGAACCCTGAAGGCTTCACAAAGGCCAGGCGTGTTTGTCAATGTGTGTCTGACATCTTCATCTATAATAGAGTAGACAGAAGCTCACTGATCATGGAGAGGAGAACAGGAGCACAGCAGAGAGAGGAGGTGATGGGAGAACCACGGGAGAGGAGAGAGGAGACGTGACAGGAGTGAATGATGATGATGATGATGATGATGATGATGAAGATCAGTGCTTCTCAACCTCTCGGACTCAAAGCTCCCTGTCCAACACAATAAGATCCCAACTCTTCGTTTTATTTCTTCATAAATTATGAGATGTTTTTTATTTTATTTTATTTTAACCATGGTTTTGTGATTTTAGATGTTTCAAGAAATGTACATTCTAGAGGGACAAAGTGCTTTCTTAGCACTTTAATAAACGTAGAATTTTATTTTATATAATTTTTTAATGAATTTTATGTTTTTTTGCTCTTGCATTTTATTTAATTAAATTTTTAACTATGATTCACTTTGTGATTTCAAAACTGTAAATTCTTAAAAAACAGTTATAAAGGGGAAAAAAAGATTTTAAAAACAACATGTTGATCATTTACATGTTTTTTTAAAGCATAATTTTTCATTTTAAAGCATTTATTAACGTTCAATTATTTATATTACTATTATTATTATTATTATTTTGTATTTTAACCATGATCAATTTTGTGAGTCCAGGTGTTCCAAGACCTGTGTGTTCTTGAAAAAAAAAAAAAAGCTTTTTTTTAAAGCATATTAATGTAGATGAATTTAATTGAGCTTAATTGAATTTAATTGAATTTTTGATTATTTAATTTTAACCATAATTTTGAAATACCAAAAGTTTCAAGAACTGTATGTTCTTGATGAAAAACAGATATTGAGGGTCAATAAATAAATAAATAAATAAATATGATTACGCTTATTTTTTTAAATTTAGAACGCACCGTTGTGGGCCCCGGCCCCTGGTTGAGAAGCACTGATCTAGTGTCAATCATGCTGCATTACTGCAGGTGTGTGTGTGTGCGTGTGTGTGTGCAGGTGTAACCATATTTTGGGGACAAATCTGCACCTAGAAGTGAGTTAAATTGAGTATGTCCTCAACTGTAAAAATGGTATAAAATAAACTTGTAAAAAAAAAATATTTGTGTGAGGATTTGTTTAAAGTATAGCAGAAGTCTAATTAATTTAGAAAACATGCAGTAAATGTGTGTGTGTGTGTAACGCTTATGCAGCAGCAGCTGATGTGAACACACTCTCACACTAACAAACTATCTGATTTAACAAAACAAAGAGAAACACACTCATCATCATCATCATCATCATCATCATGAATGACACTAACCATGAGTAAGCGGCAGTGAGGAGGAGTGTTGGGGGTAATGCATTACAAGTAACGCGAGTTCCGTAATCAGATTACTTTTTTAAGTAACTAGTAAAGTAACGCATTACTTTTTAATTCAGAAGGAAATATCTGAGTTGCTTTTTCAAATAAGTAACGCCCATAACACATTACTTTCAATAAAAAGTAACTGTGTAATTAGTTACTTTTTTAGGGAGTAACGTAATATTGTAATGCATTACTTTAAAAAGTAACTTTCCCCAACCCTGCTGTAGATGACAGGATCGATGAGCTCTTACCTCGTACTCCTCTTTGAAGCCGTAGCCCTCGGCACATTTCATCTGCGTGATGTGCTGCAGAAGGTCGGCCACGCGGATGGCGGGATGCAGCTGGCCCGTGTGGTACGGCACGTCCACGGCCTCACGCTTGCGCAGCGAGTGTGTGTGCGACGAGTGTGTGTGTGTGTGTGACTGCACCAGGCTGCTGGTGTCACTGGTCAGGGTTTGAGTCTCGTCTGCAACACAGGACAGAAAACACACGCGATGACTTCAGGCCGAAGAATGCAGCGGTCAAACACATCACGCTTTTACGCTTCCTTTTACAGTGACTTCCTAATGGCCCTAAAGAATTCAAATGTTCATAATCGATCTTGAGCTGAAATGTAGTTATAAATTGAAAGAATACTTCACTTAAAATGAAAATGCTTCATCATTTATTCACACTCACACCATTCCAAACCTGCATGCTGTGATTTCAAAATGTGAAATAATGTTAATAATATAATTATGTATAATATTATAATATAATATAAAAACAAATAATATAAAATAAAAATATAATATATACGAAGTGTTCATTTGCAAAAACAGATAACTCAGTTTTTAAAATTGTTCAAAAATCATGTTTTTTTTTTAAATCCTGCATTCCAATTAATGTGAATCAAACTGCAGTTGGGTTGTTTTGATTAAATAATAATAATAATAAAAAAATAGAGCTAACTAACACAATAAAACACAATAAAAACATAATAACACAATAAAAAACATGTTATCTGTTTTTGCAAATAAACTCTTCATATTATAATTCAAAAATTTTATATAATAAATACAAGTAATTAATATAAATAAAAAAATAATAAAATATGATTTATTCTGTGAAACAAAAAATAAAACTAAATCACACAACCCTGTTTAAAAAAACTCTGAAAACCAGCTGGATGTAGCTGGTTTAACCTGGACTTCCAATCTGGCTGGCTATAAATTGTTCAAAACCTCTCTACAACCAGCCTGTTAAACCAGCCAACCAGCTAACAATGGTTTTAGCCTTTTTTTCAGCAGGGATATGATACTGTATGTAAGAGAGTGACTGACATTTAAGCTGTTATTCACTGAAAATGCAGAAGCATAACAGAACAGTAACACCTTACAGGTTTGGAATAACATGAGAGCAAGCACATAAAGACATAATGCACATTTTTGGCTGAACTTTTCTTTTTGAATAAGTAAGGCAAGACACTGCAGGTGAAAAAGATGGAAATTTAACTAATAAATATCACCGTTCTAGTAAAAAATGCATTAATTAATAGTATAAATCTGAATGCTGGATAAATCTAGAATCAAAATTCTTGTTTGATTTTGTTGACATATTATAGTTTAAGGTTTTTACTGAAGTAATTGTGGATTTCTCTTTTTATCACTCCATAAATCAGAAATGACTGTCAACAGACAGAAAATGATTAATTTTCACTATGATTTTAGGAATAAAATGTTGTATAAAACAGTGTGAATTATATATATACAAACCCCTCAGTAAAACCCTTCAGAATATAGATAGGAATAAAACTTTAAGTTTTGGTGTGTGCAAGTGCTGCTGAAGTGGAGATAAAAACTCAGCACCTTTAAATATATGCATTTTTACCACATTTTTAGGAGTAAAATGTTGTATAAATCAGTGTATATGAGAAACCCCACAGTAAAAAATCTTCAGAATATAGATAGGAATAAACCTCTAAGTTTTGGTGTTTGTAAGTGTTACTACAATGGAGAAAAAACTGTCCAACTTTTAAAGATTTGAATTTTTACCACGTTTTTAGGAATAAAATGTATAAATCAGTGTGAATGATGTATTAACAATCCCCTCAGTAAAAACCTCCAGAATATAGATAGGAATAAACCTCTAAGTGTTGGTGTTTGTAAGTGTTACTAAAATGGAGAAAAAACTGACCAACTTTAAAGATTTGCATTTTTACCACGTTTTTATGAGTAAAATGTTGTATAAATCAGTATGAATGATCTATGAACAATCCCCTCAGTAAAAATCTTCAGAATATAGAGAGGAATAAACCTCTAAGTTTTTGTGTTTGTAAGTGTTACTACAGTGAACAAAAATCTTTTTAAAGATATATACTGTAACTGAAATCTACAGATGCAAATAGGAAAGTGCAATAAAATGTGTATTTTGGATGTTTTATTTCCACTAGTCTGACCGAAGATATGTTTTTCAAACTTGACCAGTGCAATGTTCCTCCTGTAAGTGTCTTTGCCTTAATTGCTTGTATTTTTCCAGATAATCAATCAGTGTAAAAGAAAGCGCTGGATTCATTGGCGATGGATGATCATGACACGACGTTGCAGGAAGGGTGGATGAGTGGATGTGGAGGGAGGGATCGATTGACTGCCCCGCTCGTTCATTCCTTCGTGAAATATCACGTGATGCTTCCTCTGTAACTTCAAAGAAACACAGCCTATGTGTCTGTTTTGCCCTGATCTGAGATCTGCCATGAGGCGTGGGTGCTGTCAATCAACAGCAAAGCATGAGCGGATGAGTGATGACGGATGACGGATGTTCAGAACCACATGGGCCAAAGCACAACAAGCCAAAGCAAAGAGAGCACAAACACAATGCAGATGCACATGGGAGGAGGATGATGATGATGATGAAGATGCGGTGGACGAGTGATGCTGTAACGCGCCAATGGAGGGAGAGGGACGTGATTCTAGTGAAACACACAACCTCTGTCACGCTGATGAACTTACCATTAATGGGGACTTTTAAGCAGATACATTAGAGATTAAATGAGAGAAGAGAGAGACAGAGAGAGCGAGAGACAGTCAGAGAGAAGAAAGAGAGAGAGAGAGAAGACAGGGTTTAAGCAAGAATTACACCAAAGAGAACTAGCATAGCTCTGATCAGTCACAGGGCGATCGGGGATCCGGGTGTTATGGGACTCAAATCACAATGAAGGAGAAAAATGAGTTTCAAAACAAAAGTAGAAATGCAAATAAAATTGATGAACATTGCAATCGCTTCATGGAGATCTGCAGAGCAGCGGCCTCACACGGAGGAGGTCAAAGGTCAGACTCGTCATCTGTTAAAATTACGTGACCTCATTCTCAAAAATGATCTACAAAAAATACGGCTTCAGTGAGGATAAACATGATCTGTGCTGAACTCTGTGTTTTGTGCAGCTTAAGGACAATACATGCATTTCATTTGAATTTAAAATGTAAAAAAAAAGTAACTAAAAATATAATAAAATAACTAACTACATAATACTATTATTGTTGTTATATATTGTAAAAATAGAAAAATAGAAATATAAGAAATTTATAAATGTAAAATTATAATTTTAAAATAAAATTATAATTAAAAACATAATAAAAATGTACAAATACGAAAAATGAAAAAATAAATGTTAAAATAATAAATAGTAAAATATAAAAAATATAAAACAGAAATATATTAAATTAATTAAATTATAAATTAAAATTATAATAAACATCAAACAAATAAATATTTAGCAAAACTATAAAAATAGACAGAGAAACAATACATGCATTAAATTATACATTACAATTATAGTAAATGAATAAATCGTATAAATGAAAAAAATTCAAAATAATGACTAAAAATGATAAAACACAAATATAATAAATACGTTAAATTATAAATTGAAATATTATTAATAATAATATAATATTAATAATAATTAATAATATTAATAATAATAAAAAATAGTGAAATAAGTTATAAATGTAAATTATAATAAATAACTATAATAAAATATAATAAAAATAGCACAATAGAAATCTGTGTTAAATGATCAATTAAAATTATAATTACAAATATAAACATGATGTGATGAACATCAGCATCATCTTCGCTGCTCCATGAACCCTCATGTGCCGGAGGTGAAGTTTTCCTGTTTTCCCCCCGCTTTATTGTGTAAAGTAAACCTGTTTCCCGCACGAGCAATCGTTTACATGTGCCGTTAGCAAAGAGTCATTCATATTTAATATGCCGCTCTGAGCTCTTATTTTTCATCACATTATGTTTCAATCAAATTCTCAGGCCTTGCGAGGGCCGACTCTGGGGTACAGAGTGCTTTAGATAAATAGGGTGTAGAGGTGCCGCGTAAATTAGACAAAACCTGCTTTATTATTCTATTTTATCATAGAATAAACCAATAAACAACCGCAAAATAAGAAAAAGAAAAACAAGTAGGTCAGAAAGAGCTGCTAAAGGCATAAGAAACATTTGAGAGAATAGCAGAGAAGCAAAGAAACACTGGAGTGGATGTAGAGAACGAGACGGAAACACTGATCCAGCCATCCTCCTCCAAAAACTACAAAAAACATCCCGAGGGGAAAATCGACACCGGCAAAACCGTCTCCACGTTTACACAGTAAAGCTTAGGCTCGTGAACCGCATCAACCGAACCTGAAGGACCGCAGGCCGATGCATTTACATCTACATTCATGCATTTGCCAGGCGCTTTTATTGCATTTAACATTTTATCAGTTCTTCAGTTCTAATGCAACAGCATCATCATCATCATCCTCATCATCAGCTCTAGTTTAAAAAACACTACAACTTTTAAACGTGCACTCCTCATCAGTATCTTGGTGTCCACAAAAAATAGGATGTTTTCTTGACTATGTATTTATTTATTTTTTTCCCCGAAATTTAACGCATTGCATTATTATTAATAGGGTTGCAAAGGGGTGGAACGTTTCTGGTAAATTTCCGGAAACATTCCAAAAATGCCTGGAATATTCAAAAAAATCCTGGAAAGTTTCCAAAATTTCTGGAACGTTTCCGACATTTACTGGAAATGTTCCACTTTTTTGCAACCGTAATTATTAAACTATATTTATTATTAAATTATGAATGTATAATTTGAATTTATTAATACATAGATTTAATATAATGATAATTAGTATTATTAATATAAAATGTAAATAAATGTATTAATAAAGTAACATAATACATTTATTTAATACATATTTTAATAACATACATTTTAAATTATGTTTAACATATAATTAATTTTTTAAATAATATAAAATAATTGAAATAATAATATTAATTGCATTAAAATGACAACAACAACTAATTAATTAATTATTGTTTAAATTGAATTAATTAAACATTGATAAATGATTATTACATTGTTACATTAAATGTATTAATTTACAATTGTAATTTATCAATAAATTATTATTACTCATATAACTAATAATATAGTAGTAGTAATAATAATAATACTCTTAATTTTATTACATCTTCTAGTATGGTTTGTTTAATCAATTTTTGGATGCTTTTTTGGAGCTCTCTGACTTCAAATGTGTGATTTGTCTGAATTCAAGGTGTGTTGAATGTGCAGCTACAGCATCATCCATCCACTCCTCCACATCCAGTCCACATGTCTGTCCATGCAAATGAGATGTCAGACAGGAAGTGACATCACCGAGATGCGGATGGGATGGAGTGAAGGCGGAAGCCAAAGGAAGAGAAGCAACAGACGGAAGGACAGGTGTGCTGATGAGAAGCTGCGAAACAAGCCAAATCAAACGAGCATGATGAGGAGAAACACAGACGTGACTCACCTAAGATCGCGGTGGGAACGAAGGGGTCTGGAGGAGAAGCACAGAAACACACAGAGAGAAGAGAAACACGCACACACACACACACACACACACACACACACACACATACACACACACACACATACACACACACACACATACACACACACACACATACACACACACACACATACACACACACACACACATTAGTCCGTCTGAATCATCAGCTTTCTGCTTTAATACAGCAGATCTCAATCATTTGACTTCAAGCTCCTCTACTGTCCAGCACAACTTTCAAAGTCAAACAAGGCAAGATACTTCCTTCAGTATTTCTGCTACAATCATGATAAAGCTACTTGTTTTTAATACTTTTTATAAACAAACAGAGACAATAGATGCTGAAAGGAAAACATAAAAAAGAGAAATTTGATGTATTGTTTAGTATCTTAATTAAAATAAATGTAATACTGTAATATATATATATATATATATATATATATATATATACACATGTATATGCGTGTATGTATGTATATGTGTGTGTAAGTGTGCGTGTGTGTGTGTGTGTGTGTGTGTGTTCGTTCTGTGTGTGTGTGTGTGTGTGTGTGTGTGTCTGTAGATGATCTGACTGTGTGTGTGTGTGTGTATGTAGATGATCTGACTGTGTGTGTGTGTGTGTGTGTAGATGATCTGACTGTGTGTGTGTGTGTGTGTGTGTGTTCATTATGTGTGTGTGTGTATGTGTGTGTGTGTGTTCTCTGTGTGTGTGTGTGTGTTCACTATGTGTGTGTGTGTGTTCATTATGTGTGTGTGTGTATGTGTGTGTGTGTGTTCTCTGTGTGTGTGTGTGTGTTCACTATGTGTGCGTGTGTTCATTATGTGTGTGTGTGTGTTCATTATGTGTGTGTTTGTGTGTGTGTGTGTGTGTGTTCTCTGTGTGTGTGTGTGTGTTCACTATGTGTGTGTGTGTGTTCATTATGTGTGTGTGTGTGTTCATTATGTGTGTGTGTGTGTGTGTGTGTGTTCACTATGTGTGCGTGTGTGTTCATTATGTGTGTGTGTGTGTGTGTGTTCATTATGTGTGTGTGTGTGTGTGTTCATTATGTGTGTGTGTATGTGTGTGTTCACTATGTATGTGTGTGTGTTCACTATGTGTGTGTGTGTGTTCACTATGTGTGTGTGTGTGTGTTTTTTTTATGTGTGTGTGTGTGAGTGTGTGTGTTCACTATGTGTGTGTGTGTGTGTGTTTGTGTGTGAGAGAGTGTGTGTGTGTCAGTCAATATTTTATTTTTAGAGTGTGAGAGAGTGAGTGAGAGAGTTAAAATCCTTTAAAATTATTTATGTGTTATTTTATTAATAATAATAAATAAATAAAAATACTAATTATTATTAGTAATAAGAATACACCTAATATTAACACCAAAATATCTGAATTATTTTAAGTCATGGAGGTCATAAAAACACCCCATTCAAAAATGTATATTTAGTGAAACACAGTTTTGTTTTCAGAGAAATTGATCCTAATTAATATAACTAATATTAATATTCACCAGTGGGGTCAGAAAAATAAACGTAATTCAAAGAGAAAACATGTTTATTTTATGACCCCACTGGCAGACATTTGTTCATGTTTCTTAAACCGTTAACTCACTAACTCTCTTCTAAGAAAAGAAGACCGAAAGGCTGAGGAAGAGCGTGAGTTGTGAGTGAGCGCAGAGATGCTGTGTTTGCAGTAAAGGAGTCGGAGCGTGTTTCTGCCGCATGCACACGCGTGTGGAGTGTGTGTTACCTGGGTAATACGTGTTCGGGATGCTGCTGCTCATCGTGTTCGTCTTCACCGTCACAGAACACGGAGAAGATCCGGCTTCACACAGAAAAACACCAGAACAAACACACATCACTAGAGCTGAAACTATAACCATCACTAACCTTTCTGTCAACTGAAATAAAGGTGAAAACAAAACAAACAACAAAAATCTATAAATATTTTAAATATTATTAGTGCTGGGCAACGACTAATAGCGATTAATCCAAAATAAAAGTTTTAGTTTGCATAGTATATATGTGTGTACTGTGTATATTTATTATACACACATATGCATGTATACATTTAAGAAAAAACATATTATGTTTATATATTAAATACATTTACATATAATATAAATTATATGAATATAAATATACACATGTAAATATTTTCAAACTATATACTGTATGTGTGTGTATTTATATATATACACATTATAAATATGCACAACACACACTCATATATTATGTAAACAAAAACTTTTATTTTGGATGCGATTAATCGTTTGACAGCACTAAATATTATTAATAAATAAGTAAACTAAATAAAAATTTAAAGCATTGCCTTGAAATAATTAAGTTGAAGCACTAAAATGACTAAATAGAAATAAATAAAAATTAAAACAAATAAACTAAAACTAAAATAAATTAAGATAAATAGTAACATACAAACTAATAAAAATGATAAAAGCACTTAACCAAATTACTAAAACTGAAAATATGAAATTAAAGCCAATTAAAAATATTATTAAATGTTTTATATAAATAATACTAGTTTAAATAAGGCTAAAATAACACTGGCACACAGCTCCATGTGTTGTCCAGCTGTCATGACAATCATGCCACAATGAAAAACATACTAATGCTCTTAAATATTAAACGGGTTTAATTCTGCTTCACTATGTGTGTGTGTGTGTGTGTTCATTATGTGTGTGTGTGTGAGTGTGTGTGTTCACTATGTGTGTGTGTGTGTGTGTTTGTGTGTGAGAGAGTGTGTGTGTGTCAATCAATATTTTATTTTTATAATATTAAATAATTACAAATATATTTAAAATCCTTTAAAATTATTTATGTGTTATTTTATTAATAATAATAAATAAATAAAAATACTAATTATTATTAGTAATAAGAATACACCTAATATTAACACCAAAATATCTGAATTATTTTAAGTCATGGAGGTCATAAAAACACCCCATTCAAAAATGTATATTTAGTGAAACACAGTTTTGTTTTCAGAGAAATTGATCCTAATTAATATAACTAATATTAATATTCACCAGTGGGGTCAGAAAAATAAACGTAATTCAAAGAGAAAACATGTTTATTTTATGACCCCACTGGCAGACATTTGTTCATGTTTCTTAAACCGTTAACTCACTAACTCTCTTCTAAGAAAAGAAGACCGAAAGGCTGAGGAAGAGCGTGAGTTGTGAGTGAGCGCAGAGATGCTGTGTTTGCAGTAAAGGAGTCGGAGCGTGTTTCTGCCGCATGCACACGCGTGTGGAGTGTGTGTTACCTGGGTAATACGTGTTCGGGATGCTGCTGCTCATCGTGTTCGTCTTCACCGTCACAGAACACGGAGAAGATCCGGCTTCACACAGAAAAACACCATTACACTCACACAAACATTGCTCTCAACTCAAATAAAGCTGAAAACAATAAAACAATTATTATATTCTAAAATATATTAAATATTGGCAATATTATTCATAAATAACTAAACAAAAATGAAAAAAAAAAAGTCTTGGTAATTGACTGAAATAACTGAGTTGAAGCACTAAAATGACTCAATGGAAATTAATTAAATCTAAAACTAAAACAAAAATAAATTCATGTAAACTCTTAAACAGTACCATCAAATATAGAGTTATGTATATTTATACTGAATATACAGGTATTTCTTAAAAAGGAATTAATTAGAAACGGTTAGATTTTTTATTTTTATTTTTTTTTAATTCTTAAATAGTACCATAAAAAAACTAATAAAACTGCTAAAAGCACATAACAAAATTACCAAAACTGATAGGAATATATATATATATATATAAGCTGCATTTATTTGATAAAAAATACAGTAAAACTACAGTGCAATATTATTAGAATGTAAAACAGCTGTGTTCTGTGTGAATCTCTGTTAAACTGTAATGTATTTAATTCTTCCATAAAAAAACTAATAAAACTGCTAAAAGCACATAACAAAATTACCAAAACTGATAGGAATATATATATATATATATAAGCTGCATTTATTTGATAAAAAATACAGTAAAACTACAGTGCAATATTATTAGAATGTAAAACAGCTGTGTTCTGTGTGAATCTCTGTTAAACTGTAATGTATTTCTGTGATGTGCAGCTGTATTTTCAGCATCATTCCTCCAGTCTTCAGTGTCTCATGATCTTCAGAAATCAGTATAATATGCTGATCTGCTGCTCGAGACACATTTCTGATTATTATCAATGTTGAACACAGTTGTGCTGCACAATATTTTTGTGGAAACCGTGATACATTTTATTTTTCAGGATTCACAGATGAACAGAAAGTTCAGAAGAACAGCATTTATTTGAAATAAAAATCTACTGTAACATTAGAAATGGCTTTACTGTCACTTTTGATCAAGTCAATTAATCCTTGATCAATAAAAGTATTAATTTCTTTCATAAAAAGTGTGTGAGTGTGTGCGTGTGTGTATAGTATGTGTGTGTGTGTGTGAGACTCACAGCGTCCGTTGAGGTTGTGTGTGTGTGTATAGTGTGTGTGTGTGTGAGACTCACAGCGTCCGTGGAGGTTGTGTGTGTGTGTGTATAGTTTGTGTGTGTGTGTGAGACTCACAGCGTCCGTGGAGGTTGTGTGTGTGTGTGTATAGTTTGTGTGTGTGTGTGAGACTCACAGCGTCCGTGGAGGTTGTGTGTGTGTGTGTATAGTTTGTGTGTGTGTGTGAGACTCACAGCGTCCGTGGAGGTTGTGTGTGTGTGTGTATAGTTTGTGTGTGTGTGTGAGACTCACAGCGTCCGTGGAGGTTGTGTGTGTGTGTGTATAGTTTGTGTGTGTGTGTGAGACTCACAGCGTCCGTGGAGGTTGTGTGTGTGTGTGTATAGTTTGTGTGTGTGTGTGAGACTCACAGCGTCCGTGGAGGTTGTGTGTGTGTGTGTATAGTTTGTGTGTGTGTGTGAGACTCACAGCGTCCGTGGAGGTTGTGTGTGTGTGTGTATAGTTTGTGTGTGTGTGTGAGACTCACAGCGTCCGTGGAGGTTGTGTGTGTGTGTGTATAGTTTGTGTGTGTGTGTGAGACTCACAGCGTCCGTGGAGGTTGTGTGTGTGTGTGTATAGTTTGTGTGTGTGTGTGAGACTCACAGCGTCCGTGGAGGTTGTGTGTGTGTGTGTATAGTTTGTGTGTGTGTGTGAGACTCACAGCGTCCGTGGAGGTTGTGTGTGTGTGTGTATAGTTTGTGTGTGTGTGTGAGACTCACAGCGTCCGTGGAGGTTGTGTGTGTGTGTGTATAGTTTGTGTGTGTGTGTGAGACTCACAGCGTCCGTGGAGGTTGTGTGTGTGTGTGTATAGTTTGTGTGTGTGTGTGAGACTCACAGCGTCCGTGGAGGTTGTGTGTGTGTGTGTATAGTTTGTGTGTGTGTGTGAGACTCACAGCGTCCGTGGAGGTTGTGTGTGTGTGTGTATAGTTTGTGTGTGTGTGTGAGACTCACAGCGTCCGTGGAGGTTGTGTGTGTGTGTGTATAGTTTGTGTGTGTGTGTGAGACTCACAGCGTCCGTGGAGGTTGTGTGTGTGTGTGTATAGTTTGTGTGTGTGTGTGAGACTCACAGCGTCCGTGGAGGTTGTGTGTGTGTGTGTATAGTTTGTGTGTGTGTGTGAGACTCACAGCGTCCGTGGAGGTTGTGTGTGTGTGTGTATAGTTTGTGTGTGTGTGTGAGACTCACAGCGTCCGTGGAGGTTGTGTGTGTGTGTGTATAGTTTGTGTGTGTGTGTGAGACTCACAGCGTCCGTGGAGGTTGTGTGTGTGTGTGTATAGTTTGTGTGTGTGTGTGAGACTCACAGCGTCCGTGGAGGTTGTGTGTGTGTGTGTATAGTTTGTGTGTGTGTGTGAGACTCACAGCGTCCGTGGAGGTTGTGTGTGTGTGTGTATAGTTTGTGTGTGTGTGTGAGACTCACAGCGTCCGTGGAGGTTGTGTGTGTGTGTGTATAGTTTGTGTGTGTGTGTGAGACTCACAGCGTCCGTGGAGGTTGTGTGTGTGTGTGTATAGTTTGTGTGTGTGTGTGAGACTCACAGCGTCCGTGGAGGTTGTGTGTGTGTGTGTATAGTTTGTGTGTGTGTGTGAGACTCACAGCGTCCGTGGAGGTTGTGTGTGTGTGTGTATAGTTTGTGTGTGTGTGTGAGACTCACAGCGTCCGTGGAGGTTGTGTGTGTGTGTGTATAGTTTGTGTGTGTGTGTGAGACTCACAGCGTCCGTGGAGGTTGTGTGTGTGTGTGTATAGTTTGTGTGTGTGTGTGAGACTCACAGCGTCCGTGGAGGTTGTGTGTGTGTGTGTATAGTTTGTGTGTGTGTGTGAGACTCACAGCGTCCGTGGAGGTTGTGTGTGTGTGTGTATAGTTTGTGTGTGTGTGTGAGACTCACAGCGTCCGTGGAGGTTGTGTGTGTGTGTGTATAGTTTGTGTGTGTGTGTGAGACTCACAGCGTCCGTGGAGGTTGTGTGTGTGTGTGTATAGTTTGTGTGTGTGTGTGAGACTCACAGCGTCCGTGGAGGTTGTGTGTGTGTGTGTATAGTTTGTGTGTGTGTGTGAGACTCACAGCGTCCGTGGAGGTTGTGTGTGTGTGTGTATAGTTTGTGTGTGTGTGTGAGACTCACAGCGTCCGTGGAGGTTGTGTGTGTGTGTGTATAGTTTGTGTGTGTGTGTGAGACTCACAGCGTCCGTGGAGGTTGTGTGTGTGTGTGTATAGTTTGTGTGTGTGTGTGAGACTCACAGCGTCCGTGGAGGTTGTGTGTGTGTGTGTATAGTTTGTGTGTGTGTGTGAGACTCACAGCGTCCGTGGAGGTTGTGTGTGTGTGTGTATAGTTTGTGTGTGTGTGTGAGACTCACAGCGTCCGTTGAGGTTGTGTGTGTCCATGAATGAAAGCGCTTCATCACAGTTGGTTCCCTGCTCCGTGTAGCTCTTGTCCATTGAGTTCACCATCACCGTCATCTCCTGTCTCGTGCTGTTCAGCGTCTCCTTGCGCTTCTTCGCCAGCTTTCTACAAATCACAAAATCAAAGATAAACATACTGTAACCGCATTAGTGACGTGATTGAGACGGCAAATTAACTTTAATTATTACGGCACTACATCAAAACGCAGTGTCACCAGTTTGCCAAAAAGAGCACAGAATATTTTATGAACCGTTTACACGTGCTAGGGACATTTCGAATTCATTTTGAAAATACGTTTTCATGAATTCGAAAGTCTACGTCAGAATGGCTTTACAAACGATTTACACAAAAATGTGTTCTGCTTGTGTTTTATGAATGAGGCCCACTGTTGGGTAATTTTTGTGTTCTCAATCTCACTGACTGCTGAAATCTGGTTAATGATTTTATTTTAGGCAAAGCAACGTACAGGGACAAGGTGACAGTCAGGTGACGGAAATGCCTTTAGTCTTGCATAACAAATGGATTTTATTCATTATAATACTGAACTTAATTTATTTTGATGTTAAAATATGTTCTCTAACCACAGTACTGCTTGTTTATGGGCAGGTTATGGAATATCGCTACGCCGACGTCCTACATCATTATTGATTTTTCTTTTATGCCAAAAATCATTAGGATATTAAATAAAGATCATGTTCCGTGAAGATATTTAGTACATGTCCTACCGTAAATATATAAAAACTTAATGTTTGATTAGTAATATGCATTGCTAAGAACTTCATTTGGACAACTTTAAAGATGATTTTCTCAATATTTAGATTTTTTTGCACCCTCAGATTCCAGATTTTCAAATATTGTCCGATCCTAACAAACCATACATCAATGGAGAGCTTATTTATTCAGCTTCAGATGATGCATTAATCTCAATTTCACAAAATTGACCCTTATGGTTTTGTGGTCCAGGGTCACAAATGTTAAATATGGAAATTTTTCTTACATAAACGCATCCATTCACCTCCCGGAGCCGTGTGAGGCACGTTTAATTATGGATGGATGCGCTTTATTGGACTTCTTTTTGTACTGTTAAAAAATAACACCCATTCACTGCCATTATAAAGCTTGGAAGAGCCAGGACGTTTTTTTAATATAACTCCGATTGGATTCATCTGATAAAAGAAAGTCATATACACCTAGGATGGCTTGAGGGTGAGTAAATAATGGGGTAATTTTCATTTTGGGGTAAACTATCCCTTTAGTGACATATGAATAGGTCAAACTGTGTATTTCCGCCTTTACAGCGTGACTGACGCGCTGCAGCAGAGAGAATTTATATCTCGTTTCTGCTCGCAGAAAGTGACTCCCGTGTTCTTTTGAAGCTTTGCATTACAGTCGTGACGAATAGACGCATGTGCTCTTCTGTGTTGCTGCATTGAAAATGCATCAAAATGTTCAAAATCCGTAGCAAGCATCAATTCATCGTTTGGCCGTCTTCTGCATAGTCATTATTAAACAGCTGCCACTCTGATGACGCAAACATACCGTGGTTCAGAAACGGAAAAAAAAACACAGTACGAACACAAACCAGCGGGAGCAGTGGAAGGAGGAGCAATCGAAGTTCTTTAGCATGTTTTTGCACTTAAATGTTCAAATTGGCGAGGTCTATGTGTTCAAGCGCAAGAAGATGCGAAAGAGAACTCAATTCAGGGTTCGCTTAGTTGAGTTCTTCTTGCGATTGAATGCTTTAAAATCTCTTGAATGTTTAAAACACGTGCAAATTATAAGCTTTCGTGACGACCGTCAACTGTCCTGAGCATCTTTCATTCTCGATGGCCCTGGTATGTAATATTGTAAACTATGCTGTATTCATCCAAATAAATTCAATTGGTCTTTTTAATAAATGTTCATCTTTTGATTATTACCGTTAATTCTAGTAATTCTATGTGTGATTTATAATTTCCACACCATTTTAAGCCAGCAATATTGTAATTTTTAAACTATAGTTGAGTCAAAATAACCCAGCATGTGTTCTGTCTAATATTTACCCAACGCTGGTTTGCCAAAATAACCCAGCAAAGGTTTTTTTTTATCCCAGCATTTTTTATAGTGTATTTTTTAACAGTGTATATGAACTTCAGCGTTATATTTTAAGGCCTTACAATTGTGAAGTCAAATTCTATTTCTATTTCAAACACACACATGCACATGCACAAATACCTACACACAGACACACACACACACACACACACACACACACACAAATACATACAAACAAACACACATGCACAAATACCTACACATACACACACACACACACACAAACAAACAAACAAACACACACACACACGCACAAACAAACACACACACACACACACAAATACCTACAAACACACACACACAGACACACACACACACACACACACACACACACATACATGCACAAATACATACAAACACACACACACACACACATACATGCACAAATACATACACACACACACACACACACACACACACACACACTATTATACACACACACAAACAGGTTTACATTTGTGAAAAGTGGGGACTCTCCATAGGTGTAATGGTTTTTATACTGTACAGACCGTATATTCTATTGCCCTACACCAACCCTACCCCTAAACCTACCCCTCACAGGAGACTTTCTGCTATTTCAGATTTTCAATACACTCCATTCTGTGTGATTTATAAGCGTTTTGAAAAGTGGGGACATGGGGTAATGTCCTGAAAAGTCACCTTCTCCTTGTAATACCTGTCATACCTTTGTCATTATACACATTTATGTCCTCATTTGTCACAAAAACGCAGGCACACACACACACACACATGCACAAATACCTACAAACACACACACACACACACAGTCCTAATTGATTGCATCCAGCAGAGGAAAGATCGGTATGCTGGGAATTGTGTTCTCACACACGAGCGCGGCTGTTGTAGGCGTTTAACGCGAGCGTCTTCATTAGAGCCGCTCAGACGCAGGGAACAGTGGGGAATTGTGGGATGCGTGCTGTGCCGCTGGTCTGGGATCAGTACATGAGCGAGAGCCAACAGAGACTAAAGACACGACACTAAACTACAATTAAACCAGAGATAAACACTAAATCCCAACATGTCAAACAATCCCACACTTTATTACAGCAAATCCAGAAAGATTAACCCATTTAATCCCATGCACCGGTCTCAGTGACCGTAAAAAAGGTTTTCATTTATAAAGCTCTAAAAACCTTACTGACTGATGTTTTAGTGCACTTCCTGCAAATATGGAAACAAATAAAGGGTCTAATTTAAATATGTGCAGTTTCACACGGTTAGTACAAATTGTCACATGACCAGTTTAATTCCTGTTTGCACTTTGAGAAGATGATGGCTGCATCAGAGCATAAAGTATGTTAACACAAATATTTTTGGTACACATTATTTTTAGGGTGTCTAGTATTAATATATCAATTCACATATATTCAGTTTTGTTGAGTGTGGTCATAGAATGAGTAAACATGTTGTGACCGGTGGGATCCAATTATAAATCCAATTGCAGTTGTTAATGAAAATTGCACTAAAATGTTGCAATGACAAAATATTGCACTAAATTAAAAGTTCAAATGTTACAAATAAGTTACAATACTGATGTTGTAATACTGGTAGCACTAAACATTTTTGATGATATATGTTACAAAAAAGTAACAATTTTGAAATATGTTGTCTTTTATCTCAGTATTCCTATCAGTGTTGTATAAGGGGTTTTTATGCATAATAGAATGTGATAAAACTCATAGAGCTTTGATATATAAAACATTTTTTATGTTAATTCAGTATGCACTTTATCCCACCGCTCACAATTGTGACTGACCATAAAACACAATTTTTCACACACTTTTCCAAAAAACTTAAAAAAAAAATTATTATTGATTATTTCAAAGGGTTACTAATGACACATGATTTGGATATTCTCATGTCTGGGAAAAATGTTGGGATTAAACGGGTTAAGACTAGCCTAGAGATTTAGAGGAGCTACAGAGTTAACCTCAACATAAACCTATTAACTGATAACCTTTAGAATGAACTAACAGCTGCTCAGAGTAACATGAACTATTAGTGCATGCAAGGAGCTTTATTCATCTATATAGCACTTGTTATGAAAACAACAGCCTGCATGTTTAGAAACAATTGCTACAACATGCTACAGTTGTAACATAAGTCTATAGTGAAAATCTGTTCCCTAAAAGATTATCTATTGTAAATACTACAAAGTTAGACAATTAATAAGCCTTCAATAAAACGTGATAAAAGAGTCCATGTGACCCTAACCAAACTAAAAATTAAAACGATAAAAAAGTCACCTAAAATAAGCATTAACTGAAATCAAATCAAATAAATTCAGTTATTTATTATTATAATATTTAAGCTTGCTGCAACAGAAACACTTTTTATTTTCATTTGGTTAATGCAACATCTTGAACTAAACTAAAACTGAAAACAATACAAACTATAGACATATATATATATATATATATAAAACTAATAAAAATGACAAAACACAACAAAATTACTAAAACTAACTAAAATGAAAATGAAAAATAAAAGTATAAAAATAAAGAAAAATTAATTAACTAAAAGAAAAACTAATTTCTATTTTTTTAAAATCTACTTTTTATTTTTTGTGAATTAATGAAAAGCTAAATTATATACGATTATATAAAATAATATAAATAATAATACAATTATATAAAATAAAATAATACATGACTTGATAAATAAAGTTGAACAAAACAAACAATAATTGATTTATTTATCTGCATGTCATGAGACCATTAACAGACATCAGAGAACCGTGGACATGTGAGTGTGTTGACGAATTATTCAATTAAAATTTTAGCTTAAAGAGGTTCGGTTGCCAAAAAAATTTCAAAGTTTGCGATAGGGTAACATTTCCTCTGTGTGTGTGTGTGTGTGTGTGTGTGAGAGAGAGTGTGTGTGTGAGTGAGTGTGTGAGAGAGAGTGTGTGTGAGTGAGTGTGTGAGAGAGAGTGTGTGTGAGTGAGTGTGTGAGAGAGAGTGTGTGTGAGTGAGTGTGTGAGAGAGAGTGTGTGTGAGTGAGTGTGTGAGAGAGAGTGTGTGTGAGTGAGTGTGTGAGAGAGAGTGTGTGTGAGTGAGTGTGTGAGAGAGAGTGTGTGTGAGTGAGTGTGTGAGAGAGAGTGTGTGTGAGTGAGTGTGTGAGAGAGAGTGTGTGTGAGTGAGTGTGTGAGAGAGAGTGTGTGTGAGTGAGTGTGTGAGAGAGAGTGTGTGTGAGTGAGTGTGTGAGAGAGAGTGTGTGTGAGTGAGTGTGTGAGAGAGAGTGTGTGTGAGTGAGTGTGTGAGAGAGAGTGTGTGTGAGTGAGTGTGTGAGAGAGAGTGTGTGTGAGTGAGTGTGTGAGAGAGAGTGTGTGTGAGTGAGTGTGTGAGAGAGAGTGTGTGTGAGTGAGTGTGTGAGAGAGAGTGTGTGTGAGTGAGTGTGTGAGAGAGAGTGTGTGTGAGTGAGTGTGTGAGAGAGAGTGTGTGTGAGTGAGTGTGTGAGAGAGAGTGTGTGTGAGTGAGTGTGTGAGAGAGAGTGTGTGTGAGTGAGTGTGTGAGAGAGAGTGTGTGTGAGTGTGTGTGAGAGTGTGTGTGAGTGTGTGTGTGAGTGTGTGTGTCTTTGTGTGTGAGAGTGTGTGTGTGTGTGAGTGTGAGTGTGTGAGAGAGAGAGTGTGTGTGTGTGTGAGTGTGTGAGAGAGAGTGTGTGTGAGAGTGTGTGTGAGTGTGTGTGTGAGTGTGAGTGTGTGAGAGAGAGTGTGTGTGTGAGTGAGTGTGTGAGAGAGAGTGTGTGTGAGTGTGTGTGAGAGTGTGTGTGAGTGTGTGTGTGAGTGTGAGTGTGTGAGAGAGAGTGTGTGTGTGAGTGAGTGTGTGAGAGAGAGTGTGTGTGAGTGTGTGTGAGAGTGTGTGTGAGTGTGTGTGTGAGTGTGAGTGTGTGAGAGAGAGTGTGTGTGTGAGTGAGTGTGTGAGAGAGAGTGTGTGTGAGTGTGTGTGAGAGTGTGTGTGAGTGTGTGTGTGAGTGTGTGTGTCTTTGTGTGTGTGTGTGTGTGTGTGTGTGTGTGTTTGTGTGTTGAATTATACAGTGTGTGTCGCCTTTAACGTTCCGCCTGGAAACAAAGATCCCGTGACGCCAAACCCGCTCATGTTAGAAGAAAGCCGTCGTGTTTACAAGTGTGACGATGAGCGCTTATCAGGATCAACTAAATGCTGGATTCTCAAAAGTATGTGAAATACGTAAAGTTTGCGGCATAGAATCCTTAAAATACATCCAAGAGTTTTACACACGGTTTGTTGTTGTGGGGACATTTCCACGGCCCTAAACATGACACGGCACAAAACGAAACGAGACTGTTTGCTCTACCTGTCAGTCAAATGGCCTCTTGGGCGGTCCTTAGCCATTTAAAGCGGCTAAGGTTCCCCAAAGAACGTATACTGTCAAGAAGTGAAAGCCAACAGAGCGTTCCATTGCAGCAACAGCAGCCCTGCGCTTCCGCCATTATTCTGGAGTGAAAGCGACTCAGCAGTGCACTAGCTTCTAGCTGTCGCTACGGCAAATATCAGCTGCTTTGTTTAGAGTGTGTGCGTGTTTTAAAGTATCTATTGCAACAACATTAATTTCTGTATTGCAAAAATAAAAACTTGTAGTCAAGTGACTTACGAGACACTTCTGTTGAGTGGGTCAGATTGTTACAGTAATTCCCTTTCACTCATTTATTAAAAAAAGGTTTCTAAGAGTTATTGATTCTGTAATCAGACACTGACTGTGTTATAAACTGAAACTAGTAAAAATAATTTTTGTTAATAAAAGGTGAAATAAAATATAAATATTAGATTAATAATGAGCTAAAACCTAAACAAAAATCAAATGTTGTCCTAACACTAACTAAAATAAAATAAGATTAATTTGAAATACTAAAATTGCTAAAACTAAAATGGAAAAAATAAAGATAAATAGAAATAAAAAATAAAAATGACAAAAACACATACAATTAAAATGAAAACTGAAAATATGTATAAAAACCTTTTAATAAATAAAATAAAATATTAGATTAAATATAAAATTTAAACAATCAAAATTACATGCCTGGCACTAACTGAAATAAAATAATTTAGTTGAATAGTTGAAGTATTAAAATTACTAAAACTGAAATAAAAGATAAATAGCAAAATGATAATAAAAAACTAATAAAAATGGAAAAAGCACATACAAATACTAAAACTTGAACTACAATTAAAATGAAAACTGAAAATATATTTGAAAAAATAAAAAAATAAAAAATAAAATAGATTCAATAAAAAACGTATAAAAGTTATAATGTAGTCCTGGCAGTTACTGAAATAAAATAAGTTTAAGTTGAAGCGCTAAAATGATTACTAAAACTAATACCGAAATAAAAAACTAAAGAAAAACTAAAACAAAACCTAATAAAAATAACAAACTAAAACTTGAATTAAAATGAAAATAGAAACTCATGGCTGCATTCAATCTCACAAAAGAGCTCAATTGTTTCTTTTCTGTAGCGCAGTATTTTCGAATGGAACTAGTCATTTTTAAATAAATGGCTCTGGTCTGAACAAAATTCCAAATAAACAAGCAAACAGCACAGCTCAAGCATTCATTAAACATGAGGATGATGCACTTCATGCAACGCACACCAACCATGCAGGAAAACTGGAGCCAAACGCCGGAAGCATGTGACGACTGCGATTAATAATAATGACGATGATGATGATTTATGAGATGAAGGGTAATTCCAGGTTTGGGAAAAGCACGTTTCCCTTCCCTGAGCTGGGCAACAGATAGACAAGGAGAAGGTTCCTTGGGAAAGTGGTTCTTCTAATAATCTACAAGCTACAACGCTCAATCACATCGACTGCAGACGAACCATCAGTAATCATATCAAGGCTCTGACATTCACAGACAGATGATGGACAATCACATCAATAAGCAATATCAGCTGAAGATCATAATTACAGATAACGCTCTGGGATTGAAATGCAGGGCTGGATGTTAACTCTGGAGCCCTGGAGTCATGCAGGTCGAGCATAGCACGGCACTAACAGTGTACAAAGGTGTTTTACTCACAGGTAGTAAGTGTAGGACTGATAGGTTCTCCTGCCCAGTGAGGTGGTGGAGGGGTTTAAGCAGTGGAGGGGAAGATGAAGATGGAAGGAAAGAAAAAGTAAAAAATATTAATGTTACGAGACGATAGAAAATGAACAGAAGCAGACATGGTGGCATTCGTGAGAGAGAGATGAACCCATGTGACTCAAGCTGACCAATCAGAGCGGCATATGACTTATATACAGTACACTCAAACCAAAAACTATTCAGTGATATTTTTACACCACAGACTGAACAGAATTAAGCACTGCTTGGCACTCAACCGAATTCATTACATACCTCTCTATCAAAGTTATCTGACATTATCAAGATGAATTTGTTCTTGTCATATTTTATTACCATTTTCTCAACTATAGCCAATAAACTGATAATGTGAGAGATGTTGAAGGTGTCTGAATACGACTGTGTGAGTTTGTTTTTGTCTGAGTGGATCAATAGCTGATTCAAAACTAACATGCACTAGATTGAAGAAGTCTCTTCTGCTCACCGAGGCTGCATTTATGTGATCAAAAATACAGTAAAAACAGTGAAATATTATTAGAATGTAAAACAGCTGTTTTAAATCATAATAATATTTCACATTTTTACTGTATTCATGATCAAATAAATGCAGCTCTGCTGAGCAGAAGAGACTTCTTTCTTACTATGAACTGGTAGATTATAACAGATAACAGATGTAGCTGCTCTTCATCTATAATCTGTCTGTGAGCATTCATATGTGCATTAATAAGTCTTTATGAGGACGATGTCGTGTGTGAAAGGTCAGTCAGAGCACAGATACATCACTGTACATTAGCAATAAAACCAACATTAATTCACCTTCTTCAGTGCATCTCCTAATTTTTCAGGATGTAATTAGAGGAATATGAAAACATTTGCACTGTGAATGATCAGATGCAGCGTCCAGAGTGTGCTCTCGGCCTTAAATGAGGAATTAGCGTGTTCGTTCTCCTCACGTTCTAATCTAATTCAGCAAATTAAACCAAATAGATGCGGGAGATTCAATCACGCTCGTTCATTTGATTAAAGCATACTGAACGGGATTCAATTAAAATGTGTGCGGAGTGATCAAGGCTCATCTCTCCGGGAGGGAAATCTGGTGAATCCGGTGTTTGGGATTATTGAACACGCGTGTGTGAAATAAACCCGTCTCTTCATGCAAACAACATTCAGAAACAGAACGGATGACTTTACAGCAGCGCTTCTCAACCTCTCTCACTCCTTAAAAAATACAAATGAACCCAAAAGAGTTGTCAGTTTAATGTTATGTAGCTTAATTGTTTGTGTTTTTATAACATTTCGATTAATATTATGTTAATATAACTGCATTTTAATAATGCAAAGTTTTCCTCTGGTTGAGAACCGCTGCTTTTTTTCACATACAGTATATACATACAGTAACTGTGCAAACATCCACATATCAGATGCTTCACAACAACATGAGTATTTCTATCATTTATTTTGGTGCACCAGAAGGAAATACACATTTCCAAATATTCCTTGTGCAAATCTTTCAACGTTTAGTTTAGATGATAATAATAATTATTATAATAATACTAATAATTAAAAAAAAAATTATAATAGTATCTCAATATAATCTCAAATAATGGTTTAGAGAAATAAAAAAAATATATATAAAAAAAACAAATATATATATATATATATATATATGTATATATACACATGCAAAGCAGCTTTACAGTAAAATTTGCATCACAGAATTTGGTTTTGGTCATTAGTAGATTCAAGCACTCTCATCAGAATTAAAAGATAGATAAGTAATTGTAGTTTTGCTAAAAAATAAACAAATCTGGTTGCTGTCGAATCACAATTGTGAACATTTATAGGGATTTTAGTGTTACATATTTTGTATTCATGCACTGATTTTTTTAAATCGTCCCTGAGATTACAGATGAAAATTAGCCACCTTGGATAAATCTGGCAGAATTTACATGGATTTCCTTCATTATTAATGTGTATTTTCCCTGATTAAATAAATACATGGAAATGGAATCACAAGAAAGCAGCTCTACAGACAACAATACAGTGACAGCGAAATAAACCCTACAATAGTTCTCATTACAGATGTAACCATCTTAAACAAATGTTGTTGTGAAGTGTATACTGTATTACAGAGATGATGACAACAGACAGAACTGTGTGTGACATTTAGATAGACATGTATGAGTCTCACGGTCCAAAACTAAATATAATTCATATATTTTAGATGCAGGGTCACCGGGAGAACGGCTCTTTATCAGGCCATTACAAAGCATTATAACCAGGCTTATCAACATAATTAGATTAATAATTCAGTGTCGCATAGACAATGCAGATGAAAGGTCAGGTTGAAATCGGAAGGAAAATCTATTATTAATATCTGCGGTTAAACTCCAGACAATCTGATTGGCTTTCTGCGGTTTTCCACAAAGTCCTGATCTGACTGAGACGAACGTTTGGACACATCTGCTCCCTCCTCGTTAATATTAATGCACAGGTTAGAATAATAGTCACAGGACTGAGTTTCTTCCTGTAGCTTCTTGGATTTCCAGGGAATGCATGCATTGAAAACACGTAAAGCCTGAATGCAATTTAATTCGTTTTGGAAAAAAGCATCAGTCAAACCCTAGTAAAAAAGTAATATATTTAAAAAGCATTTATTTCATACTAAGTATAGTTCAAATCTATTAACATATTTACTGACATGTCGCTCGAGACTTTATTTGGAGTACTACTTGTGCACAAAGCACATTTCTTAATATTAAGTTTAAAATGTGTTTTAATGTCAATATTGATTAAGATTGTGTGGTCTTTGAATAATATCGGCCTTTAAATGCAAAATATTTAAAGTGTAGGCTACCTAAAGTACACTTGCAATAGTTCCACTTTAGCACAATCAAATATACTAAGTGCATCTTTAGTAGGATTTTAGCACTACTTCCGCACAATTCAAGTGCATTAAGTACAAAATTAGTTGTTCCAATTTAGCAGGCTTTAAGTATGCCAGTTTAGTATAGTAAAAGTACAATTGCAGGGTATTTTTAATCAGTACATAAATATGTAAATGTATTTGTAGTATACTTAGCATGAAATAAATGCATTTTATTATAAATTTTTTTCACTAGGGAATGTATGCACGGAAATGTAATACTAAAGTATGCGCAGATCAAAACGTGACAAATAAATACATGAGCTTTGTCTAGATTCATTAGCGATTCAATGTACCTCACCTCACAGGACTGTGCACACTGGTTTGCTCCATTGTTGTTTTTTTGGGGTATTCGGAAAAATCAGAATTCCCAATCTGACTGACGCACCACAGGGCATTAGAAAACATGATCATGTATGCCGTGTTCGAATGACCTACATACCGGAGTCCCAAACTGAACAAGCCCAGTTGGAAGTTCCTCAAGCTGTCGCTCGCAAGCCCAGTATGCACAGTGCAACACTATTCTCTGACCATCTCATTAGACCCCAATGGCATTATGACGGCGGACATTAGAGATACATTTCGGGAGGTCAATACGGAATTTGATGAGGTCTTCAGTTTACAGTTTAGGGGCTAAAATGGCGCTGATGACCTGATCGGTGGTGCCGATACCCTTGAGGATCTTCTTGCAGTGTAGCTCTCCAGGCATGCAATCTGTGCTTATCTCCCAGTAAGACGGTCGTTGCCCCAGTTGGGGCAAAATGTTGGTCTGGAGTCAGGGTACTATTCGTGCCAGTTCGCACTGCATTGCATCATTGGCCTAGTGCACCCCTCCAGCGACTGTTAGTGGCCTACAGTCCTTTATTGGTGCGTATAAAGTCCTAGCTCATGTTCTTAAGGGTTGCGTGTCGATCCTTGCCCCCTTCGACAACATGGTCACTGGTGGTGAGTTGACGGCTGCAGTTGTGTGGTCAGACGAGCTCCTCCAGTGTTTTCAAAGGGCTCAGCAGGCGTTATCCACTAGTTGCACTATGACGATACCACGACCTGATGATCAACTTTGGATTGTCACTGATGGTGGGCGCGGCAATGCATGTTACAAGTGAGGAAAAGTTGCTGCTCGCCGGACATTTTAGCACTAAGCTTCGCAAAAATCAAATCAATTGGCTTCCGTGTGAGATTGAGGCCCTAGCTTTAGCCGCTGCCCTGAAGCATTTTGGTCCATTTATTATTCAGTCATCACAGAAGGCGTGTGTGCTCACTAACAGTAAACCATGCGTACAGGCCTTTGAGAAGCTGTGTAGGTGGGAATTTTCTGCGAGCCCACGTGTTACTACTTCTTTGTCTACTGCAAGCCACTTTCAGGTCTCTGTTTGTCATGTTGCTAGGGCTGCTATTCTCCCAGCAGATTATGCAAGTCGCTATGCTGCACAATGTGACAGTCCGGCAGGTCAGGTGTGTAGCTTCGTCTGTGAATCCATGGTCTCTGTCGTGTGCCGTACTGACGTTGCCGACATCTTGCGGGGAGCTCAAAAGATGGCCTTTGCCAATAGAGCCACGTGGGTGTCTATTCCGGCTGAGTGTCCAGACCTCCACATCTTCGGGAGGGTACACGCCCTTCCAAGAGTGTTACCAATGTCAAAGATGTGAAACGGTATTTGAATACTGCTACCTTAGCAAATGATGGGCTGTTAGTTGTGTGGCGTGACACACCACTGTCAAACACTACCGAATGCATCGTTGTTCCAAGGTCAGTACTGCATGGGTTGCTTATGTCATTGCACATTAGGTTAGATCAGCCCTCGCTCACCAGTTGAGACTTGTTGTTGGCCGGTACTTCTACACGCTGGACTTGGATTTGGCCATCCAGCTTACTAGTAAGGGATGTCACCAATGTGCCGCACTGGCGAAATCCCCTGTGTTCGCAGTGGAGCAATCCAGCTGTGATCCACCTGAGATGGTGGCCCCTTTACTATAGTTAGAACTGGCCCAACACCAGGTTTTTCAATTCAATACTCAATACAGGCTGGCCATTGAGGTTGGCGATGCTAAAAATATCAACAAAAATCCGGTGGCCGAAAAGGCCATCCAGGAGCTACAGGGCGAGATTTTAAAACTAGAACCACACTGTGGGGTCGTCACCCCCTTGCTGTTGTCTGCAGCTGCTGCTCGGCTAAATAGCCATTCTCTCTCAAACAGTTACTGGTGCATGACCGGGAACTGATTGCGTTGCAGCATGCGCAACGCCTGGCTAACCATCCCCACAGTGTTAAAGCTAAAGCTCCACTGAGTCAGGGTGCACTTAGCCTTGATATTTGCCCTGGCGATCTTGTGCATTTGTATAGTGACCGTAACAAGTCACGGGCTCGAATCAGATATCTTGTGCTTAGTTCAGACGGGACGTGGTCCAACGTCTGTAAGTTTACGGGTTCCCAGTTGCGGCGTGCTTCTTATAGGGTTCGCTTAACAGATTAACAAGCCATCTCCGTCGGTTTCCCGACAAGTTAAAGGATTATGAGCTGCACTAGATGGGCTGCCTTCACCCGTATCCTTGCTTTGCTTTAAGGAAGTTGTGTTGATGCTTTGCATTGGTGTTCTGTAAGGCACCATAAGGTCCTGCCGTGCTGTTGGCACTAGACAGATGGTTCCATTAATTCATCTTCTGTTGTCACATGTCACCTTTTTGTTTCTCCCCATTTCTTGTCTGTTTCAAACGTCCACAGGTGCCAGAGAAGAGGGGGTATGTTCTGGAGGGAAAATGGGCGGCGCCAGTATGTGAAGTTTGGCGTGGATCATGACGTGACTCCTGACGTTGTTCATGACCCCGATGACCCACGTGTGCTTGTTGTTGTTGTTGTGTTGGCCACCCCCATTAAAGGCTAGACTAAACTATTCTCTCGTGTCAGAGATTCAATGTACCTCACCTACACACTAGCGCAAAACTAAAAAAATAAATACAAATATTTAGGCCTAAATTTAAGATTTATGTATTTTTGTATTGCTTCACATCTTAATCCTTTTTGTCCTATGTGAGGCATAATGTAGCATTTATTTCAATTGCATATAATAATTTTTATGAATTTGGATTAGATTTAAAATAAACTACATATGAAACACTGCATTCCCAAAAATAATGGTATAGTTTATCATTAACTATTTGCATCTATTTGATTTTATTTAAAAATCATATTTTTAAAAATGCATTTATTTATGCATAAATCTGTTAATTGTTAAAACAATAATACTTGTTCATTTAAAACCAAGTAAAAACATGGTTAAAAAGTATGAACATGGTTAAAATATGACTAGCTGTGGAACCAGCAATATTCAATCAGTTGAAATGTATGAGATTTAACGATATGATTAATTATTTGATGATATAAACCTAGTAATTGTGTATTTAAAACATTTTCAGATTAATAGCACTATTACAGAAATTTGACTTCTTTCAATAATGTATGACTGACAAATATCAACAAGCATCAGATTAAGTTTATAAGTGTTTATGTAAAAAATTTAAATGCAATTCAAATACATAAATCTTACATTTAAGCCTAAATATGTTTTGAGTTTAATTTCACACATTTAAAGAGAGGTCTTTAGATTAAAGGTTTTTAATGAACTGAGCAAACTGTCCAAACTTTGGTTAACTGTACTTTCTGATGCATCATCACCCTTAACCGTGGCGAAATCAGTGTAACCGTTCGTCTTCACTGTGTGTGTGTGTGTGTGTTAAGATTCTTACCGTTTCTTCATGAGCAGCACCACGCCGAGGAAGATGATGACGAAGAGCAGTATTCCTGCGATGACGCCGGCGATCTTCACCGTGTGGTCAGTCTGTTTCTCCGGCTCCACTGCGTTGGGTTTGTGCGTCGCCGCGCCTGAGATCAACCAAAGGTCAAAGGTCATACAGAAGATAATTTGAGGCAAGACACTACACTTCATGCACGGCTCAATTTAGATATTTTGATCTATTTTGCTTCCATAGCATGTCTTCATTCAGACTAGTGGAAAGAAAACAATGAAAAAGTGTTTCTTTTATTGCACTTAATCCATTTGCATCTGTAGATTTCAGTTACAATATATATCTTTAAAAGTTTTTTTTCTCCACTTTAGTAACACTTACATACGCCAAACTTAGAGGTTTATTCCTCTCTATATTCTGAAGGTTTTTACTGAGGGGTTTGTTGATATATCAGTCACATTGATTTATTCAACATTTATTCCTAAAAACATGGTAAAAATGCAAATCTTTGAAGGCAAATGAGTTTTTTCCCCCACTTCAGCAACACTTATAAATTCCAAAATTTAGAGTTTTATTCCAATCTATATTCTAAAGGTTTTTACTGAGGGGTTTGTTGATATATCATTCACTCTGATTTATAC